TGTAACTAACTCACCACTTTACCATCATTTCTAAGGAAACTCAACCAACTGTCCTCACAGTTCTTCAATTCATAACTCACAAGAGAGAAATCATTTTCTCTTGTTTTGGTTTTTCCCTTTCTGATCAGTGACACTCAGATGAACCATGTGACCTCTAACTCCATGGCTTCTTCTCCGTCTTCACCAAATCTCTGAACTCTGTGAAACTTGTCCCACAAAACAATTGCACCACATTTGCATCACGCTGAGCTCATTCTCTGTTATTAAACCTTTATAACGGTGTCTGACAAAGTCCGGGGGGATTGCACGCTGCAGAGAAATCAGCACTAATTTGCATTTCTGTCTGTTGCTTCCCTCAGACATGAAGAGTTTCTGACTGCTGCCCTCTGGTGGTGAAATCAGCTCACTGTAGCTCAGTGCAGACAGTTCAAAAACACATGATTCTTCTCATACTGTACATTGCTGCAGCATTTTTTTTTTATCACTGTTTAAATCACTTTATTTTAGCTCCAGTCTCTAGTGTGCTGTGAAAAAAAAGTCATGTGAAAACAAAAAAGAACAGTTGTGCCAGCTTTGTTTTAACATTTAAAAACAATAAAATATGGTGAAAACCAGCAAATATCTGTAGATATTTAGAGATTTTGAACTCTGCATTCGTTGACAACAAAACAATATAAACTATATTGTACTATAACACCAGTGTAAGGTTCAGATTTGTTCTAGTTCTTCTCTATGCAGCTCGAGCATCGCAAAGGCCTTCTGGACAATAATGATAACCTTTGTTGTCCTGTCTCTCTGCTCTGAGGTCTTTATCCGCCTCATGTGCTCCACAAAGCTGCTGTGGCTGAAGTTTCCTGAATCAGAAGGGGTGACGTCGGACATGAAATCATCCTCATGACTCACGCATTCATCGGACGGGTCGGTTGTAATGAGTCACTGCCAGCTCAGTTTCCATCACCTCAGAGGACATTATGATGATTTATCCCGACCTTTCTCTAACTTTTAACCAAGTCTTCACCCTAAAATGTACTGATTGATGTTACAGGGAGCCACAGTGTGACTCTAAGCATGATGATATGAGTGTGATGCTGCTGATGTCCTGCTCGGTGAGTCAACCTCCTCCTTTACTGAAAATCATCCTCCATATTTGACAGGTGCAGTTTTATAACCTGCAGCATGTTGTTTTTATTTCACGCTCACAGCATCGTTTTAGGCTTCAAAGAGCTCTGATGAACCAACTGTACACAACAGTTGGAGGTGTGTTGGTGATTTTTTCTTGTGTCTGCTGCCTCCAAGTGGCCAGAAACATTTATTTTAAAATTAGTCTCTGGAGCTGAGTACATTGTTAAATGACCCCGAACAGATTCTGCATTTATTACTTACATTTTCTTAAAGCTACATGTCAGAGAGGAAATGTTGTTTTTTTTTAATGGTATTTTAATTTATCTACAAGCTGTCAGATTTGACGTTCCAAACATCAGATAAATCCTACAAACATACGCTGTGCAACTAAACCTTTATTCACTTTATTTTATGGATTTACGAGAGTGTCAGGATTAGGATAATTTCATTAAATCTAAAGGACATGTTTGACATCACTTTGTCTTCAGATTTTTTTAAAATAAAGATGTAAAGCTCACGAGTTGATCTGTTGTCTGGAACATAACCTGTGAACCGCTGTCCTGAAAACCCAGAATTAAACCGGACGTTGCCTCCGTGACCTTTAAATCCTGAAGGCCTCAGGTCTTCAGAGAGGCTGCTCCTGAGACGTGAACCATAAAAACAAAAGGACGACTCACTGTGGGGCTTTTGTTCATAAAAAGGTCACCGGAGGGTTCAAAAAGGTTCATGGGACAAAAGCAAGTCTGGTAAACAGGTTTGGGAGTTTTATAAACAAAGAAAAGGATGTTAAAATATCTTCTAAAGCAAACAGTGCAGAAACATGGGACAATGTGTGATTTTTGCTTTCTTAATCACTTTACTTGCCTTTTAATGCCGTCATCAGACACTGACTGACAGAAAACGTTTTCTTTTTCAGCTTCGTTTTGCCTGAATCTCTAACAAGCAGCTGTTCTTTCTCTAATTTCTCTGCATTGTTAATCATCGCTGGCTTCGGTCCAAATCACCTGGTTAAGTGATTACTCACAGCCGGGCTACTCGTGCTGTGGCAGTCACAGATATTCTGGGTCCCCGTCTTGATGACGGCGCTGATCTCAGAGGACGCGTCACCGCTTCAGGTTCAGCACACAGCAGAGGGATTGTGTTTCTGCAGCAAACAGCACGAAGCCGCTCAACATACAGCCGAGTGTTGCTGCATTTCTCTGCTTGTTTCATCACTTCTCTCCCCCTGATTTCACTCCATCATTTGCACTTCAAGAAGTCTCATATCGAGATGAAAAAGTGCTTTTTCTCACTGGCCAGAGGGTTATAAAGACACAGATCAAATACGCTCAGTGTGTGAGTTTTAAAGAGAAACAGCCGCTGCTTGTTTACCGCTTCACACCATGAGAGGGAAAAACAGCGCTGACGTATTGGAAATCATTACAGACGGCTCAACATCCCATTTTCCTTCTTCCAACATGTCCTGTTCTGCTCACCAAACTGGAGGTTTCCTGGTAAAGCCGACCTCCTCCTGTCTGGGTCTCTTATGTACGGGAAGGATGCAGCCACCGGTGGCCTTGCACCTGTCGGCTTCTTCTTCTTCCCGGCGGAGACATTTTCTCCATTAAAGCCTCCTGCAGCTGCAGACGTTTCTCCAGATGCACCAACCGAGACCCGACATTAGGCCTGCTGATGGGGTTGAGCTGGAGGGCAGGCGTGAGCCAGAGGCCGCAGTGGTTAAAGATTACTGAGAGATAATGTTTGGAGTTCCAGCGTGTCTCACTTCCAAGAAATTAATGTACTGACGCAAAACTGGGCTCAAAAACAAACAAAAACAAATAATGCAGCAGTTTGAAGTTGGGGAGATTAGCTTTTCTTCTCCAATCAAACACTGTGATATATTATTGTACAAATGCAGCCAAATCAAAAAAAAAGTCTTTTGTGTTTCCAGAATATAGTTAAATACTGTGAAATGTGATTCTTTTTTGGAGCTAAAAACAAGAATGACCATAAAATGCAGGCCTCT